TGAAGATCTCACGAGTGAGTGCCACTTGAAGTAAACAAATGAGCAGTTATCTTATTAATCGACCTGTTCTGTTTATGCTGATCATGCTCTTTCTACAGAGCGGCCCAAGTCTAAAGATGGAGAAACTGTGGTGTATCGACTGAAAGACTGGCCTTCAGGGGAAGAGTTTATGGCTTTGATGCCCTCCAGGTACCTCAGAAACACAGGAACACCACATGTAGACATGCTAAGTAGCCATATATACACTGTTTTAAGGATTGTGAATGCTGTTTCATGGTGACCTTACATATTTAATTTGTATGTTCTGATCAAGCATAGCTCTGGTTTAGTTGTTTTAGTATGTGCTTCATCTCAATGTGTAGGTATGATGATCTCATGAAAAACCTCCCAATGCCTGAGTATTCAGACCCCGAGGGGAACCTCAACCTGGCATCCCATCTGCCCTCCTTCTTTGTGCGGCCAGACCTGGGCCCGCGCCTCTGCTGCGCTTACGGTACTGCAGCTCCCTCTGTCTCTCTCACACGTATTTTTAGTTTGCGTTTTATTAGTAGCTTGCTATGTTTTATTCATGGTTTTACTGTAGAAAATTTGATTGTTTTATCAAAAATTATATGAAAAAAACGGTCATATTTCACCCCAAAGGAAAATATAAAAACTTTTTGCAAAAAGAAAATGAGGCCTATTTCTCGACAGTTTGCTTTTTTGTATTGTGACATAATTTTCATAGCATATAACGATGAAAAATTCCTCACATTCTCATTAGTGTAACATTACTGTAAAAAAAGTATTTGTTGTATTACCTTTTATTATGCCTAATTTAAATTAAAAACTGTAGCCTATTCTAGTGAACTGAATGATGTATGATCCATATCTCAGGTGTGGCGGCATCTCAGGAGCAGGATTTCGGCACCGCTAACCTGCATATGGAGGTATCGGACATCATCAGCGTGTTGGTTTATGTAGGAGTGGCCAAAGGGAATGGTGTCCTCTCCAAAACGGGTAAGCCTGAGGCCCGCTCGCCACATAGCTGTCAACAGCCTGTCCGTTTACTTGGTCAGCAGTGTTAGAGAAAGAGGAGGAGGGGGAAAAGCCTTCTGCTAGAGCAGAAATGTTCCATAAACCCTTGAGCTCAGAGGAAAAAAACACAGAACATGGTTTCCACCCTGGAAACAATGAAATGTAGAGATGCATCTGGAAGGATTTTTCTCTGCCAGTACATGGCCATAGCAGCACTAAAAATAACTTTTATCTGCACTCATGAGAATGAATATGTAAAAACATGGAGGAGTTTTACATATGACATATTATTGTGGTATTAACTAAAAATCCATTTGTAGTTTTACATGACCACTGTGCTGTCTCTGTTCCTCTAATGGATTTCTACTACAGTAGATAGATCTCTAAAAGCCATTTGGGTGTGATGTTGCATCTAAAGAAACATAGGTCTGTGCTTAGTGCTTTTTTTTTTATTCCAGTTGTCTTCAACAATGTTTGAAGGCCCAATGACTTTTCCTTTTGTTCATGATTTACTGGAAAAGGATTAAGGATAAGGATTTTTAAAAGACATTGTGCTCAATTTTTACCCAATAAAATATCTTAGAGCTTGGCAAAACTAGAATAACGTATATTCATTATAAATATGCCCATGGCATTTTAAGACTTTATGAATTTACATGACTTTTCCAGGTGTAGAAATCACACTTTTAAAATTAGGCTTCCTCATATATCCAGGTTTTCCAAGACAGTGGGGAAACGTGGTTCTTCACAGGGAAAAAACAGTAATTGAGGGGATGACTAAAAACAAGAAATATCTTGTTGGAGCC